CAATTTCATGGTGGTTTTCCATGCAAAAGGAAACAATTTCAGCTAAAGAGAATACTTAAATACTTTCCACAAAACAATAACACTTAAGAATCCTGTTTCTAGACTGGGGTCCACTGCACTAGTGAAATGAAGAGTTACCCTGTCATCTGAGCTAGAAAGCTACTTGCTGCCTTTCAGCATCTGAAAGTAGTACAATAATATCTTCCTTACCTTTTTGCTTTAAAAGCTTACAAGGACACAGCCATTCATTTCTTTTTCAGCTGCATAATTTCTGTGAAAGAGTCTTCCACAGAAGATATTACAAAAAGAAAAAGGGAAAAGGTGAAGATGCAAACCAGTTCCTGAGGAATTCCAGCTACCTTCTTTTTGGTCCTGTAAGCAACATGCCACATGCACACTTGCAGTGCCAGTGAGCCGTAACGACAGTATTTTTTGAGATGGATCCCAGCTTTCTGCACACAACCTTAACAAGTCACCCCAAAATGTCCATTATGCTCCACATTTTTCAACAACAGTGGAGCGATACCTTTGCCCCCGATAGCTGCTGATCAAGGAGTTCAACTCTAGGAAGCTTCATCAGAGCTCCAACTTACCTAAGCAAATGCAGACAGTGGAGAGGAAGCCCACCGTCTCCTTTCAGTGTCTGCATAGAGATGGCCTTATTTTGGTAGTTGACAGGTACAGACAGAGCTTTTGGCACAGTCTGAAGGATCATATCCTAGATTTCCTACAGTAGAAAGTCATGAGTATCACAGGGATACCTTATTCCCTGCTCAAGCAGTACAGAAGGTGCGAGGGAGGGAACAAAAAAATCAACTGCCATCAGACAGAACACTTTTAAAGAGATGCACACAGCAAACTTGTCACCTGGTACCTGGAGTAGGGTTATGGGTGTCATAAGCAACAAAGAGTTCCCACAGGGGTCTGAGACGCTAAAGACATGGGGAAAGTTTAACCCAACCTTTTCAGAGCTTTAGGACAGTCAGGTTTGAAAGCACCAACACTTTCAGCAGGGTAAGGGGAAAACAGAGAAACTAAATACAACTTACACTCATGGCAGACTAACTTTCAGTTTTAGCATTTGCATTTGGTCCAGAAGGACTAAAAGTCCGCGTACACCTGCACGAACGGCAGACTAAAGACAACCAGGTTCTCTCAGAAAGTTTACAGTTATTGATTAGGAGCATCTGCATGGTGCCCAATCAGACATCCTGACACAAGACATCTGCATCTGTGCTGCGAGAAATTCCACAAGAGTGGCACAAAGGCCTGGATTTCTGCATTAACAGATACCGAAGGAAGAGAAATGCTTTCACCTGTAAGAGGAGTTCAGTACAGCCAATTGGCTGGAAACCCAGAGGCTGGAATCTGGATGTCCCAGCAAAGTCAAGCATCCCCAATGCAAAATACAGTACAGTACATATTTCTTCTGTTGAATCATCTATGGTAGGAGACAGTTTCTCTAAGAATGAGGACATTTAACACATTGCTGGGCAGCAAATCAGTACGGAGCACAAGTCTGGCATCGTTGTGTCAAGTCAGTGCTAGAGGGCTACAGTTTAATCAGTGCAGGCTGATCAGACAAACCCCAGTACTTTTCCTTGCTCTCAGCCTCATGAGCCAGAGCCACAGGAAGAGAGGATTTCATCAAGTGAATTGGGTCAAAGGCTACGCACAAGCCTCAGCAACAGTGGGCCAGGAGATGCAGCAGTGAAAAGTTACATCTCAAGACTTGACACCAAGCCATACTACATTGGAAGGCAATCTTCTAATGTTTCCCCAGGGCTCAAAGCCCTAAGGTATGGCTAGTGGTAGTCTTAACATCTGACAGAAAGAACAGTATCCAATGTGAGTTCTATAGTTCCCTTAGGAAAATCCTCGATGTCCAAGACACACTCACCATAAATACAAGCACATCAAGCAACAATCCAGTATTTGCCCACTGACTCCAAGTACCGACTCACTCATCACAAGTTAAGCAAAGCCATGTCTGGAAGTGCTTAGGAATGCAAAACACAAATTGGAGAGTGAAGAGATCAGCACCCTGTCTTTTGAGTATGATCAGGAAGAGCTGAAGGAGTACTGCACCCTGACTAATGTTCATCTACTGTGCACAAGATTCTCTTTACATTTTCTGGTTTTTTGCAGTAATTGAAGTTATCACGTCTCAAACTACAAAATAAATGCATAGTCATACTTTTACCAACGGCTATAATCCATGTGTACACAAAGCAGAAAATTCATAGTAAGGAATGTAAACTAACAGTATGGTTTGCTGCTACTTTCAACTTCCTATAGCATTCATCAATAATAACATAAAGGATAAATAGTGGTTTCAAAGAGTTTCTCTAAATTTTATAAACACAATTAATACATGGAACGTAAGATTGGTCAGTACCATGCTGTATTTGAAATAAAACCCAACATACATAACTCTGATTGTAATGAAATATTTCGCTTAAAACAAAACTTTGGCTTTCAAATCTATGCTTGAATGAAAGTAATCAGTCTCCAGAAAGCTAAGGGTAGTTCAATAAGTCATTAAAAACTGCATTTCAGGCAGAAGACCTTTTCTGCCCTATGTGTTCCATTGAGAGAATTGAGAAAAAATATACACATTAGTCATTGTTTTATAAACAATAAGCATTATCAAACAAACATTTGATTTTAACTCTGCAAATACAGTCAAAAAGGGAAATCCAAAGACAAAATGCTTTGATTTAATACAATGTCATGGTGGCACCCAAGCTGTGATTTCATTGGGAAAAACAAAAACAAAAAAACACACCCAACTCTAAACTGATCTAAAAAGTCTAATTCCAACAAAAGGAGAGGCTACCTCCCTCCTGTCCAGGCCACTCAACCCCACTACATCTCACATGCCAGTGTTACGACTTATTTGACCTCACAGAAACGAAGGTCAGGGAGCTACACAGGTTTTTCCTGCAGCTCTAGTTTTGATGCTAGTCTGCCATGGGGTCAGAAAAATGCAAGTGGTGGCACAAGGAAAGCAGAACTCTGCCACAAGACTGCTCTTTTCAGAGGGAGCCAAACATCAGATCTGCTTAGAGTGAAGTTTTACAATACAGAAATCTTAATGCAAACATGAAAGGGCGGAAAGAAAGGCAAAAGGAAGGAAAAAAGTGGTACTTTTAGAAGGTTGTTAAAGAAGCCAATTCTTAGTTACTGATATTCCAAAACTATCAGTGAGCATGACGAGGACTGGGAATTGGTGCTAACAGTGTTGCAAGTGTATGAAAAGTTAGGTAGCAAGGTAGCAACAAAATTAAGTGGTCTGACCAACGCAGCCTTGCAGAATTAAACACTTGCAATCACTTTAGAGACAAGTGAGCATTTCATCCACAAGCAGTCAAGGACTCTATACAATGCTAACAGGGATTTTACTTTACACTCTTCAGAGGGTTGTTAAGAAAAATCTGACGAACACGGGCATATGTTTTGGACTTTAAACTGCCCAGCACCGACAAGTTCCATGTTAAAGTTAACCAGACTTTACCACAGTATTTGATGCTACAGGGAACAGCATGAAGTAGACTCTCAAACTTCAGGTAATGATGTGTCTTGCTTCCCATTTCAAATATCCTTATCTCCCACACGGATGATTTTGTGCTTATTTGAAAGTTTAAGGTGTGGATCAGCTGTGACATTTGATGAATGGTTTGCTATCGTTAAATAAGTGGTCTTATTTCCTTGCAAAAGCAGCCTCCAGAGCAAGCCTCTACTTCAAGCATCTCAAACTGTATGAGAACATCTAGGCTGAATACTCAGCCATCAAAATATACAAAGAAATCAGTATTTTATGTAACTATTTCATTATGATTTTACATACACATTCCATAAGTACAGATTTAGCAAGATGGCTATCACATGAAACTTCATCTGAAAGAAATTAGGAAAACTAAAAGACATGGAAATGAGAGAAGCTATTCTGAAAGTAAATTCTGAAGTTTTTAATTATTCAGTTCTCATGTCTATTCTCAAGCATATAAAACAAAGTACTAAAGTCAGTTAAGAGAACACACAAAAAATTCTCATGTGTTTCATCAGCTTTCATGCAGTTTTTTTACAGACACTGAAGTAGTTTCAGACTTGTTTTGTTATGGATTAGATAATGATCTAAGTCAGTATTGCTATATTCTGAAATACAAGATTGAGCATGTGCAGCCAAAAATTCCACAAGGCAATCATCTGCAGGCTGAGAACATACAAGCATGCATAGCTACTTAACAGCACAATTACTTTTATTTACATAAACAAGCATGCTCTCCCACTAAATCCAAGATTCCGTGAATTCTGAACAAGAATAACCAAAATTTGTAAATGAAGATTTTCAACAGTGCAAACATTAAAACATCTTCACAGAGCAGACAAAAAGCTCCTGCAACTAAATAGATATGGCTTATGGAACTAGTTGTTCTACCAGCATGTTTGTTTTCAAGGAAACATTAAGTTTCATAAATCTGAACAATTCATTCCTCTCATTTTTTTTAAAGCTACTACTAACAATCCTATTTAAAGAACTTACAAGTTAAATTCCTGAAGAATGATAAGGCCTACAACCATTTCAGACACACACCACACCTTCATTTTACTGATCAAAATCAGATGAAAAGGTTTGTTTGCATATTCAGAGCTCTGGCAGAGTCAAAAATGCTCAGACTGTAGGAAGAATGGGGCTTGAATGCAAGCTGGGGACCAAATTCAAACTAGTTTTAGACATGCTTATTTACGTTCAAATCAGGAACTGTACTTCTTGGACTTCTTAACTATATACAAAATAGTCATTAATTTAGCCTTAAGAATTCTATCTTCCTAATACTCAATATCTAGTCTTAGCATTACTGTAGTTATATGCATACTTGTCAATAATTTGAGTACACGCACAAATATTTAATATTTCTACATTAAATTGCATACAATTGAGTATTTACTTGAGCAGTCTACCACAAAGTAAAAATTTCTTATATACTAGACTATACCTGCAACTTTGTCCCGAATAAGTTTTGCAGATTCAACTTCACCAATACTGCTAAATAGACTCCGTAACTCATCTTGCGTCATGTTCTGAGGGAGGTAGTTCACAATTAAATTTGTTCTACCAATATCATCCCTGCAATCTTCGGCCATGTGATCTTCATAACCATTAGACATTTTATAATATATCTGCAAAGAGAAAAATCCCAAATAAGTTCTAGATCTTTGCATTTCAATAAGCCAAACTTTCTCCACTTGAAATAAGTTTGAATGTTTATTTTTAAAAACTGAGAACAAGCAACCTTTTCAACTACACATTTTTCCCACTCACAAAACAGAACATTATTTGTTGAAAATTCCAGAACAATTCATTCTTCCAAACTAACAAGCATGGCATTTTACAAAACTATGTACCATTAAAGAGCTCTTAAGGGTTGTTTTTTGGTTTGGGTTTTTTACATTAATAAAAAGCATCAAGACAGATTTTGCACACATTCCTATAAACACCAAAGCATTCACAACAGCCAAGTTAAAAATCGGGTTCCCCATGTCCAAGCACTTGACTAGTCAGAATCACAACTGCCACCTCAACCTTAATTCCAACTTTATGCCCAGAACTCTTAAAAGACAGAAAGAGGAGCAGCAGCCAGATCTATTAGATCCAGTATTTCAACCGGGGACTATTTATTTTTATATGAAACAGATGAATCTGTACTGGAACACTAACTCTGGTGCATATTGAGTATTTGACAGAGTTTCTATTTTCTGCATCTTTTTAAAGAAAAGTCTTGAGAAAACATCCAGAAATTCCATCACATGAAGATACCATAGTCAGCCATCAGCAGGGACTGAATCCTGACGTTTCAGAGGCAGAGGACATCTACAACTCAAACTCACCACAGACCCAAGCTGCTCTTCCCTCACGGCTGGCCAGAACAGCAGATTTTAAAGCACTTTTACAATCACTTTGAAATTGTCAGAATCAGGATATCTAAACACTCTTCCTGCAACAGGAAAAAAACGAGGTCTAGCAGATCCAGGAAGCCTAGACTGGGATGTTCTTTTCAGAAGACATCACCACCAGGAAGTTAATTTCTTGTACGGTTCCAGACTCTGGTTCTCAAGTTTGCTGCTGCAGATTTGTTCATCTTCTCAGTCCGAGAGAGGTAAACATCTCTAGTTCCAAAACAAGGTATTTTTAACAGCTCTTAAACAGCTGTGAAGCACAGAGAATTAACAGAAAAGCGGCTAAAAACTTGAAGTGAATTCATGGCCTCCTGATGCACTCCTCCTCTTAAGTCATCACTCTGTGTGCATTTTACCATAAAATCCAAACACTCTGGCCTATTAGCAACATAGAGACATGTCAATTTACATCATAAAGTTGCAATAATGCTTAAGCATGCATGTGTTTCCAGTTCAGACTCCATCAGGAAGAGGCATAAGACCAAACACTTTTTCATTTTTCTTCAATCCAGAGTTCTCACTACAGGAATATCATCAGAAGTTTGACTGCCTATAGCTAAATCAGCAATGGCTGCTTAGCTAACCATCTGGTTTTGCTATACTGAGTCTACCAACTCTGTAAATTCAGATTCACACCACCATATTTCCAGAATAAAGGTAAACAAATGCTTCGCCTGGTGCAAGAGATCAGTCTAATGACAAATTCAAGCACCAGAAATTTAGCAGCAGACATATCTGCATGAGCAACTACTACTAAAATTCCTCTAGCTGCAGTTTGCTTGAGAACTGAGCATATTATCTGAAGCACGTATCACTAGCACAGTGCTAATCTTGCCTGAGGGGATAATCAATCCAAGCTGAATTAGAACAGTTTAAGATATTATTGCTTCTCAGCCACCAGTAAAACATCAGGTCAGGTGTTCAGAGGATGCAGAAGCTTCTAGCTCATCTCAATGCAGAGTGAGCCAGCAAGCCTTACAGTAATCACATAGTTAATACTGGCTATGTTGGCCAATTTATTTTTGCATTAAGATGGGTCAGAAGCATTCATATGACCACATACGCTTCTCAAATAAGGTGATTTTGAGTTACAACCATTAACACCACAAGACAACTACGTAGCATCAGTTTACAGATTTCTGTGAAACTACAGCTGCCCTCTATGATACAGGGCTGAGCAATGGTACACCACTTTATCTTACGGATCAGGAACTACTAAAGAATGAGCCTTTCCAGGGACTGCACCGCTACTGACAACTAATAGAAATAATGGAAAAAGTCAGGAACAGCAACTAGAAACCCTAAGTCTAGAAAGGGAATGCTGCCTGCAGAAAGGGACTTTCAGTCCCTTCACCAGTAGCTATTGGTAAGTCATGTTTAGCATTTATTTCCTATTTTCCTCCTGCAAAGGTCAGGTTTTTTTAAATGGCAATAACAGAGTACACCATTTTAGATTAAACCATGACTAGACTTATGTTAATTTGAGATTTAGCACAGTATAGATTCAAACTGATTTTTTAATATGTGTTGAAGCATTAACAGCTGGCAGCTTGTAGAAGGAGAGGTCTTGCTCCCCCTCAGCCGTTAATTAGCCTTCTACCTCCCCATTTCTGTGTTTCAGGTTGTCAACATAAGTTAGCCCCAGCAACCTTCTGCCCACAGGATAACCAATTTGTGCCATGAAAGCAATGGAAAAACTACACCAGGAGGGAAGCACTTTTTGTTGTGTCTGCAGTTTTCATCTGCTTTCCTTGCAGCAAGATAAGCACCAGAGTTAATGCCAGAGGATAGGAGAGCAAGAGGAGAAACTGCAAAGCTAGAAGTAGGGGAAGAGACCCTTGCCCACTGCACAACTTTAAGTTGCCGGGTTGTCTCAGTTGTACTGTGAAATTATGTCATTGAATACACCTTCCCTTCCAGCTCTGTCAGAACTGTCTGAGCACAACCTCAGAAAAGTTTCCCGTTCTGCTAAATGACACTCAAACAACTAAATCTTCTTTGTTCAACATATCTGAGCTATAAAACCAGATGACTTACCTTTTCAAAATTGTTTTAATGGAAGGCAACTTTGCTTGTCTTTGTCCTGTATAAAATTCAAGCCCTACAAGCACAATACACCAATATGTCAATGAGTATGGAAATTGTACACTACAATTAGAGTATTTAGTAAGCAAGGGAAGAAACATTGAGATTTTTTCCAGCTTTATGAGATAAAAGTTCACATTTCCTTCACTTTAACCAAATTTGCCCAAGATATGATGCAAATCCTTCCTGCTGCCAAGATTCTCCTCTTGCCAAATTTAAGAAGTTGCTATATTTTTTTTAACACTTTCCAAACCAAAAAACTTTATTAAAAAAATAAATCTATTTTCCTTATCCTCCAAGGTATATCTGCTGCCTAAAAAGGAGGCACCACAGCTAGATACCAAGCACAGAAAACTCCCCAGCACACCATGATGGCAAGTTACCAGACTTACATCTGACATTAAGCAAAATTGACAGGAGTTTGGCAAGTGGCTATCAACTTTAAATCATTTTACCACAGCTTCTAATCTCACTGTCTGCAATACTTACCATCTATATCTCCCCATGATAAACAAGGAGTGCCTAGGGCATTGTTGATTCAGAAGCAATTAGAACTGTGAAGGAAGCCTTCCATCTGCTTTTCTTCAGACATTAGGAAAAAAATATGAAGCCTTTGCATAAAGGCCTGGCAAACCTTTTCATGGGATACCAGGAACAAAGCATGCAGGCGCGACAGAGGCATAGTAGAGAACAGGAAAAGAAACAGAGTGCTGATAAGGAAGATGCTTCTTTCTTCCTAATCTTTCACCAAGCACTTACACAATCTACTGCAAGACTAACACTTTTCTGGCCGTCCTGGAAGTTAGTGGGAAACCACTTCCTTTGCTCGTGCTGAACATTTCTCATGCCAGTGACAATACAACCAGTCCCTGAAGAATTGTTAACCTTTGCGTACTGAAAAGAATTCCAAAAAGAAAACGCTGTATAAGATGGTCAGTAGGGATGAAATGAGAAATGCTACATAAGAAGTTTTTTTATTCTGCTCTCACTGAAATATGTGGAGGGAATCTCCTGATCTTTCTTCACCAAAGAAGGAACAATCAAATTATATCAGTAAATATTCCAGACTGGACAATCAGGCCTAGAAACTAACTTGGATCTATAACTTCATTAACTGACGTTTGTCAATCCACTTTGACATAAATCAGAATTCTAAATGCTCTTACATTCTCGGCAGACAGGTCAAGGATGGAAAGAAGGTCTAACAGCTCCATTTGGGAAGGCTTCCTGTAACGAGGCTGGTACTTTGCTGCCTTTCCAAAAAAAGGTCTTCAATTCTATGTCCCAAAAAAAAGGAAATTTTAAGACTAAGTTCCATTGCACTGCAGTTCCTAAAATGAGAATTTTTTAAAAAATAACCAAACCCTGCAACAGTCTGTTTTAAAAGGCAGTCTTTTTCTTCCTCATATGAGATGCCCTCAAACTTAGAATGCCAATGATGCACAGAGCAACAAACAGGAACCATACATATTGTGCCTGAATCTTCCATTAATTCCAGAGGTGCTCAAATTCACATAGCCCAACACCTTAGCACCTGCTTCAAAGGTTGCTCATTCACCAACAGCCAGGTCTGCATTCTCAGGACTGGACTGAAAAAGCTCTCCAACGTGCTTTTTTCAGAAACATTGAACTGACGATGACAATCACCTTCTCACAAAAGTGCACAAGATCCCAGGAGGTTGAAAAAAGAAAAATGACACAAATGGTTCTGGCATCAGACCAATAAAAGCTTCTTCCAAATGACACTCTGTATCTCCATCTAGATTTCTAGACCACGGTGCTGTTAAGTCTTCCACTGCAAGATATTTGCTAAGAAGGAAGACCTGTACAAATCTGAGCAGATAATAAACAGGAACACTGGCAAGAAAGGGAACTGTCTGTCTTCAAGATCAGGCAAGAGGCTCCGTATACCTTCACCCTGTTCACAGCTCTGCAAAGGCACTAGACCGCTACTGGGGCCACAAACTTGAATGTAGACCCCTGAACAGATGGGAGATGATAATGTGAGCATTTTAGCTACTGCAGAACTTAAGACAGGAAATTCTTCCAGGAGCAATGAGCTCTCTACTCCTTCATGCCAGCAATTAGCACCTTCATTAAAAATGAGGCAGCAGGTCTTGTCGCTC